AGAAGCAAGTCAAAGCAAAGTTTCTTATAGTTTTCAAGAGTCTTTAACAAACATTTTAACTTCGTTTTAAGGCTCAAGTTTCAAGTAAAGTAAAGAGTTGAGTTCATTTCTCAAAAGTTATTAGGGAACTAAGTATTCCCAAAGAAGTTTATAAATGTTTTCACATTTGAGCAAGAAAGGAACTATGATTTTTCAAAGAGCCTTCGGGCTAGTTTTCAGAAAAGAGAAATAACTTTCTAAATGAAGCGAGCAGGGAAACTGAGATTTTCAAGATAGCCTTTGAGCTAAGTTTTTGAGCACTACTCTCAAATCACAGAAGAAGTATGTTTTTAAACATAAAGAACTAAGTATATTTTTGGGAGTAGTATTGAGCACCGATATGGGGATGCGAGTTCATATTAACTCAAGTCTCCATAAACCATGTAGCCATCATAGGTAGAAAAGAGTCATACTTTTTAGATGAATCCTTTTCGCATAGACTAGTGGATCCACTTAGTGAGTTGGCTTCCTTTATCATGGCAAGGTATATGATGGGCCTCGGCAGCGTGAGGTAAAACATTGTATCATCACTATAGTTCTTAAGTGATGGTTGTCGGTTAGAGAAACTCCCACAACAGTAGTAGCATGGTTCCTCAAGGGGTTCTGCTTAGTGTGAATGGGGGTATGAGACTTCATTCATGCATTGCACAAGTAGACTTTGAGAGGGAGCATGGTTTGTCTTTTTATGATATTATGATTATGAATTGACAACATGTTTTCAACAGTTTTCTTTATATTGCGCTTGTTTTAAACTGCTTTATAATGAAATAAGTTTATTTAAGTATTCAGGAGTTGAGAAGAGCCAATGTAAGTGTTTCTTTCATAATCTCTTTCGAGTCTATGTTGTTTTAACATTCCAACTCGCATACTTGTACATTCAATGTACTGATGCCAGTTGGCTTGCATCATATTATGATGCAGACACAGGTAACTAAGATCGGCATCCGGCGCATTCGTTGATCTAGTGAGCAGTTCAGAGTCTGTTGGTGAGCCTGTTTACATTCCAAAGGACTCTTTTACATTGCTTTCAGTTTTAATATTAGTTCATTAGGATGTCGTGGGCTTATCCCGACATCCATCTCAGTTGTTTAGAGGCTTCATAGATAGTCAGACAGTCAGTTAGTTAATTTAGTTGTCTTTACTTTTCATTTCATATGTTAAAGACTTGAGTTTGCCTTAATGGCCAGTTGAATGTTCTTTTATAACATTCTAGTTACTTCTTAAATGTGTATATGATGAGTTAAGTCTTCCGCTGAGTTAGTAAGCCAGGCCAAGGGTTCACTTGAGGCCAGCAATGGTCTTCGAGTGCCGGCCACATCTAGGGTGTAGGCTCGGGGCGTGACACTTATAATGACAACAAAGAATTAATGCAAGAACCTTAAATAATCAGCAATCAATCCGTAGCTACAGCCCCAGAACAAGGGCGTTTAGCCACTAATCTCTAAGAAAAGAACCCTAAAAAATATTGACGACTTTCTACTTTGATACCCTGTGATTCATCTCCTCCAATAATTATTTATATGGACTATTTATAGATGTAGAAAATTCTAAATAAAATAACTGAGTCCAAAATTAGTAGAAAAATCAAAACCCAAACTGAATTGAATTTCGTTTGACTCGCGCACTATCCGCCGCCTTCAAGATTTGTGCGCAACTCCTTGTTTCATATTGTGACACGTGGCAGGCTTTCTATTCGCTGATTAGCAATTTATTCTGTTAAGCTGTCTGCTTAATTTCATACTTCAACCTTTCATCTTTATTTCGTTTTAGCTTCAAACTTTTTTAACTTTACACCAATTTACTCCTATAAATAAAATACACTATTTAGCACAATTCATAAATTCTATGCTAAAAAAAGACAAATATAACTAATAAATATGAAACAAATAATGATTAAAATATATATTTTTGACCTCACATCATATTTATAATATTGATTGTTATCCTTTGTATTTATTTTGTAGAGAAAGTTAGAGACGAGTGAGAGAGAGAAGAGAGGTAAGCGAGAGTGTAGAGAAAGAGAGAGGAAGAAATGAGAGATAAATTTATTATAAAGCAACAACTATATGTAGCTACAAATTGCAATTCTTTTAAGCTATAATTATACATAACACATGTTAACATTGTTTACGTAAAAGAAATGTTAGGATCAAACGCTTACCATCATGCCAAAAGCTATAGCTTATAGCAAAGGCGCAATTTTATTTCTTAACTAAGTCCACCAAGCAAGCGCCATGTTCAATCATGACTCCGACTCGGGCCACCCAATCCCTCGTGGGCCTTGCCATAGGCAGGATGTTGACATTATCCAACGATCCCCCTCCCAACACCTGCCTCATGCAGAATGTTGCTCTTGGGAATCGAACCCATGACCTTGGCTCTGATACCACTTGTTAGGATCAAGCGCTTAACATCATGCCAAAAGTTATAGCTTATAGCAAAGACACAATTTTATTTCTTAACTAAGTCCACCAAGCAAGCGTCATGTTTGATCATGACTCTGACCCGGGCCATCCAACCCCTCGTGGGCCTTGCCATATGCAGGATATTGACATTACTCAACAAGAAATAATTACAAACAAAAGAAAGAAGACATAAAACCATACCTCCAACTCCAAGAAAAAAAGCAAACAAACAAAAAATTCGATTCAATTTTAACAAATGATTAAATATTTAGATAAAAATTTATTTTATTTTTTCACTAATAATTCTCGTGAAATTATTCCTTTTGCACCTGTTAGTGATTTTAAATTTTAGAGGCTTCGTCTCATTTTTACACACTAAAAAAAACAAAACAAAAAAAAGATAATAACTAATTGTCGTATGATTAGTGCCTGTTTGGATTAACTTTTATTTTTTATAGGTATTGATTTTTAAACCTTTTTTTTTAATTTTATTGTGGAAGTGTTTGAAAAAGTTATAACTTGTTTTTAAGCACTCACTTTTAGGGCAAAAAAGTTTTAAAATAAGTCAAAGATAGAGTACCATCTATTTATCACTTTTAACTTTTGACTTATATTTTACTCCCTACTGTCCCTAATTACTTGTCCACATTTTCTTTTTTAGTTGTCCCTAATTACTTGTCCATTTTGACAAATCAAGAAAGGACAAATTTTTTTAACCTATTATACCCTCAATAATTACTTTGAAAAAGGTAGAACTTCTTGAAAATATTAAGTTTTTAATTCAACTTCATAATTAATATGGGTAAAATGGTAAATTCACTATGTCAATTATTAATTTCTTAATAGGTATGCCAATTCAAAAATGGACAAGTAATTAGGAACAGAGGGAGTACTTTTTATAAGTTCATCCAAACAGGCCTTACTTCTTTTATTAAGTTTGCTGAACTACATTTTTCAATTGTTAATATTGCATAATGGTGTTTTGCTCTATCCTGAAAGGAATTAATTCAAACCTTCAATAATTATTAATCAGATAGCTTGAAAAAATTGTCAACACATGCTGAGCCCAGAAGATAGTGGCCACGTAGGTCGAGAAGGGATAAAAAATTATTTATAAAATAAATTCGGAGGATAATAGGACCTTAGTATAGTATAAGTGTGTCTCTGAAATTTCGGGCATAGATTGAGGGTACTTATGCATTTTCCCAAAGACTAATCATTAAAAACTTCTAACATTTCCTATAAAATTGGAGCCAACTAATTCTTCATCTACAAAACATATGAACATTATTTTTTATGTATAATAATAAATTAAACCCATTATCCCAAGTAAAGTAGCTTTATTTTCTTATACATGTTCTAAGAGTTTTTTTGGGGGATTACAGATCTATTTTAGTTGACTTGTCATAGATTAATGACTTAATAATAGGGAAAATGCATAACTTTAAATTTGTCGCAAATTCAAATTAAGTCATGTCTCAATCAAATACTTTAACTTTGTCCAACTAAATCATCTCTCAATCGAACACCTCAAATTTTAATAAATGGCATTTGAACTGAGTCATGTCTCAATCGAACACCTCAAATTTTAATAAATGACATTGAACTGAGTCATGTCTCAATCGAACACATTAACTATGTCCAACTAAACCATATTTCAATCAAACACCTCAACTAACTAAACCATGTTTCAATCGAACACCTCAACTCCTAATAAAGTGTTCTGACACTCTATTCAAAATTTCAAAAATAATAATATTGTGAGTGTTTTAAAACTGAACCAACCACACAGCGATTCAGCTTTGAATTAAATAAACATCTTACATTGTAACTTTGTTGTCGATATGGGAGAGCTGCTATTCTATCTACTAATCAAACTTCTTGAAAATTGGCAACAAACATATATAAAAAAAGGCAGCTCAGTCGATGTACTAAGGTTTCGCTGTGTGGGATTTGAAAAAAGATCGAACCATAAGGATATAATATGCAAAACAACTTTATATTGCGAACGTTGGAAAATACAATTGATAGAAGAAAAAGAAAAAAAAAAGGCAACCCGATGCACAAGTGCAACAACCACATTCATCATTTCAGAAAGTTAATCAAATGACGATGAATCGGAGCACACTACTAGTTAAGCAGAGGGAAAAAAAGGGAAACTACCCACCCAATCAAAAATCCTCCTTTTCTCAAAGGAGAATCGAAAAAATAATATTTATGTGCCTTGGATGATCCACATCTCAGGGTCAGGCGCCGATGTTTAAGCAGCAATTTCTTATTTTTTTTTCATAAATCTAAAATAAAACAAAAAAGGGATTTTAAAAAGAAATGGTTAATGATACAATCAACCAATGAATTATGACTTAATTATTCCCTCACGCCCTGAATTCAGCTTCAGAAAAAAGAAGGTCAACCGCTCCAACAGAGTGAGAGTTGCTTTCCAAACCCAGCAGGAGCTAAAAAGGTGTTTCCTTGTTCTGGGATCCTTTATCTTTGTTTTATTTTAAATCATTGGGTTTAGACATTACTTCGGTGCTTTTTAATCATTCGAACCTAGTTATGATTTTGTTGGAAGATGATCACATCCTGGAAATCTTGAGGGGAACAATGGATTTGAGAATTTCTTCCCTGGAGGAAACAAGTTGAACACTTCCAAGTCTCTTAATGAGATGCTGGCAGCAATCTTCAGCAGCTATGATTCCAGCTGAATAGGCACCGTGCACGGACCCTTGATGGTCATCCATACAGACAGCTTCGCCTCCAAAGAATAGATTACCTAAGGGTGCTCGAAGCTTATCATATATATCTGTTGGCTTTCCAACCAGATCATACGAATAGCATCCTAGGGAGTCCGGATCTGTTCCCCAGCGTGATACAAGATACTGAACCTGCAACATATATAGCTATCAGCTCAATGGTTATTAGACATGTTTTCCTTTTAGTTACTAACAATATATGTTGTTCAGACTCTTCAAAGATGTCGTAGTGCATTTTTGGAGAATCCCCCATGTGTGTTACAACACATTTGGAGAGTCCAAGGCAACCATAGTTAAATAATGCATGCAGCTGTAATAACTGAAATAGAATTATGCAGGACCAGGTATTACTCACAGGTTCAGGTGCATCAGGAAACATTTTTTTCAGCTGACGCATAACAAAATCAGCCGCCTCCCTGTCTGATAATTTCTCTACATCATAAGCAAGTCTTCCGGCAGCCATATAGACAAGGACTTGATGCCCTGTTGCCTTGTGGAGGTTAAGAAAATACCCACAAGCATAAGAGGTAGGTGCAACAATGCCTAACAATTCAACGTTTGGCCAAAATACAGTATCAAATCGTAATGCAATCTTGTTTTCGTTGCCCACACCAAGATCTGCTATTGCAGAAAGCTTCCAATCTGGCAATTTTGGTTTGAACTCAATTAAGTTGGCTTTGAGGACCCCAATAGGCACAGTTATTATAGCAGCATCCGCAACAAAATTCCTCCCATCCTCAACTGTAACCATCACTTTGTTATACCCATCCGTAATCGCCTTTACCCTAGTAATTCAGATCGATGGAAAATTAGAATTGCAGACAAGCATGGAGGCTAAAGTATACGTAAATCAAGATAAGAAATTACTTGGCAAAAAATAAAAATCTATTTGCTTCATTAATTCTCCACAGCCAATACTTGTAAACACTGAGACTTGGGTTAGGATTTGGGTGTGGTGTTGAGAAATTCTTAAACAGTGAGCAGCAGAAAAGTTGCATTATGTGTTGAGCTTTGGTTTAGTGGTAAGAACAAAGCTTGCATGATGTGTAGCCCACCGTATAGGTTAGGCACTCGTCACGAGTTTGAATCCTGCCGCAGACAAAAGCCTACTATTTGATTTGAGAAAGTTAGATAGGGATAGGCCCATCAACCCCGAGTTTCAAATTGTGCCACACTATTCCTCAGAAATTTCTCGATTATAAAAAAAAAAAAAGTTGCATCACAGCTTACATTCTCAGGATGTCCTAGAAAAACAGACAAATTTTACCAAGGCAAAAAATCAACTCTGATGCAGACAGGTAATCCATCATAGATTATGAAGTGATTGAAAAAAAGGTAAAATACAAATAAGAAAGCAACATTTCCAGCAGATGAAACCCTTTTTAGGGATGGTGGTTGGGAGAGAGGAGAGATGTCTATACCAGGCTGTGGTGCAACTTAAAAAGAAAATGGTGTCTCTGTGGAGGAAATGAATTGCATTTTGTTTCTTAACTTTCCTATAGAAAATCTTGTAACAAGAAGATTCAGTCGTAAGTCCACAAGTTGGTCCGTCTTTGGATTTAACAGTCACAAGTGCTGCATTAATCTTCAGATTCTAAAGGGAAAAACCAACAGCATGACAAGCTAAAGAAACAACAAACAAGATGTCAAACTTCACATTTCACAGAAAACCCCAAATATACCTGTGATTCAAATGAATATCAATATCTTTTGACAATGCCTCAATCACCGGGTGATAACCCTGCACCATTAGTCCATGACCACCCGTAAGAACTTGCTCCTGTACACCATATAAACAACATTAATATTACATACTTAGGAAATTATTCATCAAACATATCCTAATGGCGGTAATTTAAAGCATCTAATGTAAAATGGAACCCCAAAATTTCCTATCTGGAAGTATGTAGATATCTGAAAATGATAGCTATAATAACACGAGTTGTGCCTTAAACTTCTGAAATACTAGACATTTTTCTTACTTATCGTATTACTGAACCAGCCAGTTAGAGCCTTGCCATTCGAATAAGGAATATTGTCTTTGAGGATTGGGAATAGTAATAAAATCTTTTAGATGCACATAAAATTACTCTTTTAGAAGAAACTTAGAATAACAAGAAAAAAAACTTGCCTGATCCCAAGTTTTCAAAGAGATCGTGTCTGCATCGGCAGAAAACCATGCCTCCATTCTGCATATGTACCACTGCAGTACTTCATGAGAGACTCCTTCTTGCCTGCGGCAGCATATAAGATCAGTGAAGTTAGCTAGATTACAGATTTAAAAGAAACAAACATAAGTTGGTTGTAAGAGAAGAACATTTTCCCATACCTCAGCTCAGGATGCCTGTCCAATACAATAGATATTGCTTGAAGAACCGATATGTCATTACTATTCTCATTTCTCACTTTCTCAGTCTGCATTTGCCGATACACATAATCATTCATTTACGTCTTTATAAAACCTCAAAAGGAATAGCACTTGGTGAAATAAAAACAGAGCAAAGCCAACCTCATCGAGGATTTTCTTGAATACATCTCCTACTTCAGCAACTGTATTATGAGGAACTTGATGACCATCCATGCCAAACAGCATGCAGCTTTAAAAAGAAAGAAAACATAATCAAGCTCCTGAATGATGAAATAACATCTCTAGTTAATGTACACAAAAGCAAAAAGAATATAGGCTAAAATCTAGCAGATACAGCATGCTTCAATATGAGCGCACTGAGAGATGTGAAGGCAAGCAACAAATCTTCCACACAGACAAACTATAAGTGTGATTTACTTTTTCATTATGAATCAGAGTACAATAAACTGCAAGATACTTTCTTGCAGAAAAAGCTACTGCGACAATTCAAGAACAAGCTAACAGATTTTTGCCCCGATTTTTGAGTGGCTACATCAGAATGGAAACAGAGAACAGGACTTTAAAAATCTGAAGCCAAAAATCTAAGGTGTAACTAAGAGATAAGCCACCCCCTTCATTTAGACAGAGAGATAGAGAGAGACAGGGTGTTTAAACAAAAGGGAAACATGTCCACTAAACATGATAAAATCATTTTGAAACTAAATGTCAAAAATCCTATTTACCTTTCCAAATCATGGTCATAAAGCACTGAGTCGTCACCACTAGTTCGATACAGAGTGAGCCCCAGCCGCCGTATCAAAGGAGCTAAAGGATTTTCATTGCACACTCCATGGAGCCTGAGATGCAATTTGAAGAACATGAATAAGCATCTAGTTCTGGATAAAGAATTCGAGAGTAAAAGATTAGTGTTACTCACCATGAAGCTCCCAGATCAACTGGACAACCAAATGAGTTGTCAGTGTGTATGCGACCACCAAGTCTATCTCGTGACTCCAGCAAGAGCACCTGGATAAAAATAGACCAGCTTCATTAGCACGAAAAAAATTAGAACATAAAAGTCACTACATGTGAAAGGGGTTTAAAGTCATGATAACCTCACCTTGAAATAAGCATTCTGAAGGAAACGTGCAGCAGCTACCCCTGAGATACCTCCACCAATTACAATGACCGACGGAGATGAACCATGTCGCCTCCCTAAGCAAGGTGGTAAAGTGCCTAGTTAACCAATAGTTTCATGGCCATAATATATATATATATATATATATATATATTCTAAGGGTAACAAATATCAGAATGGAGTAAAGGCGGCTTCACTACTATACAAAACTGCAGCAGAAGAAGTGAATAACATATTTCTTTTAATTCCAAGAATTCTTAGATGCAATAGGTTTCCAATAAAGCATGTCAAAACCAACTGCACAACTTGTAAACAAATAATTTGTAGAACAGGTGCAAAGCTTATAACATTTTTTTGATATCGTACAAAATCCCCTGTTTGGTTAGCTGGCCCAACCTTAGTTGGGTATAAGTTGAAACTCAGAATATAAGCACACCATTCTACTCTCCTCCCCTTAAACACCCAGATTTTGTCCTCGTCAGGGCTCACTCTACTAATGATTGCCTTCCACATTACCTACGTTCTTCTTTTACCATTGAACCAAAGATCTAGGGGTATTGAAAGCTTATAATATAAGAGGGTATTGTTCCTAAAAAGACAAATCACTTGAGTCCCCTCAATTGTTCATATTATCAAATGATATGGACACACACATGAACTATGAAAGGACCCTTTGCTTATTCAATCCGCATTTTTCCCAATCATAAAAATCAACACTCCGAGTTAAACAATATAAGCCCACACACATAACGCAAGCTAACAACATTAATTTAAATTCAATTTCTTGACAAATATAGAATAGTTCTGCTATAACTTCACTGCTTTTCATCTATTATTTCAGTAAAATCATAGCAATCACAGTAATCAGTCACAGTTTAACGGATCCGGGAATTTCCCAAAACACGAAGACATTACTCCATCCATCCCAATTTATGTGGCACTTAACAAGTTTGACTAATCTTTGAAGCTAAATTGGACTAATAAGTTGCAATTCTTTTCATGAACAGATGCAGACCCAAGATTCGAATACAACAAGATCACCACCAAAGGCAAATGCACACAACACCATCTCATTTGATATTCTAACGTCTAAATATAAATTGAATGAAGCTCGCAGTGTCAACCATTTGTTTCAACACCACTTTGCATTCATTAGGTTGCCTGTTTGAAACCCACCACCTACATTCCTTACACATTCTTTTAATTGTCAACTAAAAACCAAAAATGATATACCATCCCAAATTCAATCTCAGGTAATGACCAAATCCAACACATACACTAGACGATTCTTCTTAAGATATAAACACACAATTCAACCCATATTTGTATATAAATTATAAACACCTTCTACACACTTTACACAAGGTTGATACATTGTATTTCCCTAATAATCAAGACAAAAGTAAATGAACAAGAATTCAATACAATTAACAAACTAACCAGAATCATTCCCTTTGAGCTCCATGATTCAACAATGGTTACTTGAATTCGAAGAAATCAAGAAAAGAAAAGAAAAGGGTGTGTGGGGAATGTTGTTAAGGGTGTATAGGAAGCAAGAAATTGGAAGTTAATTGGAAAGAATGGTAAAGCATGAAGAGAAGAAGGCCGGCAATGATGCGGCTTAAATTGTAACAACACTGTAACTGATCAAATCCACTCATAATCACAAAATCCTCAAATAAACAAATCGTTTGGTTTGCATAGATCACAAATTCCTTAACAAATTTCGTTTTTCTTTTCTTTGAGGCAATTCGTCGAACAGTTGTTAGGCAACGGCAAATGAGTGTTTTATATATAATGAATGAATGAAGAACAACAGTTTAACAGGAAGCAAAAGACAACCGCTTTTAATGCGCCAATCTTCATGATATTTTGTGTTTGGTGGGGTTATTATTGTCATTTTATCTTTGAATTTTTTTTTTTGGATGGTGCCATGTCATAATTTATATTTTTTCATATGAGCTGTTCACTTTTTTTTAGGCATAATATATAAACGTGTCTTTAATTTGATCTTAATTGACATTTATGTAGTTTGACTTTGGGCCAGTATAAGTGCCCGTTTGGATTGACTTATCTTAGGTGTTTTTAAGTCAAAATAACTTTTAAGAAGTTTTGAAGTGTTTGAGTAAAATTAAAAAGTGTTTATAAGTACTTATTTTAAAGCCAAAATAACAAAAATAAGCCAAAAGCCATAAGTTAGAAATCCTAACTTATGACTTTTGGCTTACAAGTCATGAGCCAAAAGCCAATCCAAACAAGCCCTAAGTAGACACTTTGACTTGTATAAAGTTGAATAAGTAGAAACATACATCCTACGTATCGTCCTACAGGGCAATTCACGTCATACATGATGTTTTATGTGTATTATGCCACGTAGGATATGTATTCAATTTTATACTCTACTTGAAATCGAAGGACATAGATGTTAATTGTGGTCAAGTTAAAGGACATATTTATACACACTCTTCACACTTTGTTTGGATGGTTGTTTTCCATTGTATTGTTATTATAAATACATTGTTACTTGAATTTTATTGTATCGTATCTTTAAATTCATCGTTAGATAATGACAAAAAATCTCATTTATGCAACAATTGATTTGGTGATTGTGTCATTATTTTATTTTTTTTCATTTTCTCTTTATTTATTATTTAAAAATTATATTTTATTTTTTATCTATCTTTGTATAGTAACTTTACTTTTGTTTTTTATTTATTTTTTAAATTGTTGATGTGTATTTATACAGAGTCCAACAAATTAAAGTCCATTTATACCCCCAATTGATTAGACAACTAGGCTAATAAAATGATAAATAAATTGATTATCAAATACTGATAAGTATAATCTGATGAATATTATTGATAATGAATTCATCTGAATTCACTATTTTAATACACAACATAAATTTATATATATATAAAAATTCACAAAAAAAGTCATAATGCTTACAACTAATTGTCATATAAGTTGGTTCACCTAAAGAGAGTAGCATCAAATATTCAAAGATACAACAATTCATTTTTTTGAGTCATGGCGCAACTTGTGCATATGTGTGGACAAAGAATTGATGATATCCTAACCTAACAACCTCACAATGTCCACTAAATGCACTTTGAGTGTGCGTGTGAGTCGGCAAAATTTTGAATTTTCCAGATTTAGAATATATCTTTTTTATTATTATTTATGACAAAAAAATCGGTTTTAATTTATCAATTACATATTATTTAATTGATAAGTGGTGATTTTATTATTTACTTAGCGTTGTTTACTTACGTATTTATAGTTTAGTTTATGCTTAATTTATTATTATGATCAATGGAGTTCGAGATGCAAAATTATTTATTATTTTTTCAAGAGAAAGTGAAAAGGAACTTAAAGGAGAAGTTGGACTCAAAAGGAAAAGAAGAAAAAGTGTGTTAAGCACTACTTTGAAATCCTAGTGTTTGGCCTAGTATCGTAGCTCATATCATATTTTATTTTCTTACGTAAGACTTTAAAAGAAATATTTGAAACACAAATTAATTATATATTTATATGATAAAAACTTTAATTCTCTCGAGAAAACAAAATATTGAAATTGCAAAATCTGACTTTTATTGGTTTTCGTTTGATTTGATTTAGAAATTTAAGAATTCGACACAAATATTGATTAAATTTTGATATTTGAAAGATCCAAACCAACCCAACCTGTGTATGTCGTAATTGAAGTTCAATCATATATGACTAACATTCGGTCATTTTTGAATGACTTCAACCATTTCTATCTAAAGTTCATACTCATACACTTATTTCCGACTCTCAAATTTCACGCCTTTATCTTTATTTCTTAAATTTTATACAAAGTCAAATAAAAAAAATAAAAAAATAATAATAATAATAGTAGATTAGTCATCCTTTGATAACCAAAACAATTTCAAATGTCACAACTCATACATTCACCACCTACCTACCGTTTAAATAAAACAAGTAAGATCCTACTTAAGTATGGAACTTCAAACACAAAATACAACATAAACATACTCAATGAAGTCCACATGATGGAATCAAGAAAGGACAGAAGTATGCCTCTATCAGACTCAGGTAACACATATCAAAGAACATAAAAAATAAATATAACAAGTACAAAAGAAAGCATCACATAGCATCCAGCTGAAAAAAGAAACAGTAACAACAACAAAGTAAATACATTTAGTAAACCTTTTTAAATATATTTTGATAAGAACCATCAAGCAAACAAAGGGGTTTGAGTTGTAAAACTAGTTGTACTAGTTGATGTATGTAGAGGAGCAGGAGGTCTACTATTATTCCCAAGAAAGCTTCCATTTCTCTTTGCTCTTAATGATGAACATGAGCCTCTCTTTGAGCTTAGTCTTGAAGAACTATTGCTTCTAATAGGAGGATGCAAGTTATCTGATTTGAAACCTTCTAAGAAAACTCCATAACTCTTGCATGATTTGAGCTTCTTGTTGTATGGATTTTCTGGCTTAGCCATGTCCTCTAAGCTCCTCACATTTGATAGAGAGGTGAATGATTGTGATTTCCCATTGTAATGTTTTGACAAGCCTCTCCTATTAACCCAAAAAAAGGACAATTAATTAGCATCATAATGAAATATTAATGTGAAAAATGTTAAAGAAGGATATAGAGGGTGGTGTTTAGATAATGTTAAAATGCAAATCGAAGTTAAGCATCTTTAGATTAATTGTGGTATTTGTTAAAAAGAAGGATTTGGAATCTAATTCAATATCAAAAGTTAGCGTAAGAGAGGAGGATTATCAAAGAACATGTAAAGAGATCATCCATTCCTTTTACATTCGATGTGGAACTCTTCAATGCCGTACGTTACGTCCAGGGCTGGAATCTCTGAAGTGTAGGCAATTTGATATGGAAGCCCAACATCATGAAACAAGAATTGGGATGTATTGTGTTTTGATAGCATGTTAAGAAATGAAACTAGTATTTGGTAAAAATCAAAAGTATTTGTTTAAACTAGTGTTTTTAATCTAAAAATAAATCAAAAGCAATAAGTTCAACACCACTCAACTTTGCTTGTTTTCCGTTTTAATAGTTTTATCCAAACGAGCAATTAGTTATTTTTAATACAATTGAAAAGTATGGTTTTTATGGTGTTTAAGCCTGCTTAAACATAATTCGATTAATTTCAAGTACAATACAGGTATCAAATAGCTCTTATTCAACAAAGCTTGAATATGCAGAAGTAAACTAATCTAGTATTCTTTAGGCGCCCTTGTAACAATTGGTATCAAGGCCAAGGTTCGACAACGGATGAGGAAACACATTGCCATTGTCATCATTTTTGGCCATGACATCTTAGGTGCCCAAAATTGTATCAATTTACATGCCCTATTTTAGGTATTTTCAAATTAAGTGACCATAAGTAACGAGTATTCACTCATCTTTAATTAGAATCAGATAGAAGCCTCTTAGGTCATGAGAGACATAGTGAGTTAATCAATTCCTTTACCCCATTTCTACCCCTTCTCTTTTGAACCACATCTAAGGATTTTCAGTCTAGCTAAGCTACCTAAAACAATTTGAAAAATTGATTTCTCAAATCATCACTTAGTTATTACTCATATCCCATTTCTTCTCGATTTCAATTAAATTCAATAAAAAATGACTTTCTAAAAATATTTAACAACTAGTTAAGTGAGTATACTAGAAATCAACTCCCACCTTAAAATAAGTCTCATCCTTTCATATACTCCATCGGTTTAAAGAAAAAAATGACCCATTTTCTTTTTTGGCAATACTTTAACTTCAACTTTCCACGTGACATGTTTAAGGCTACAAGATTAAAGGGTATTTTGGTACATTTGGTATAACTTTAATTTAGAAGCACAATATTCAAAAATTTCTTTCTTTTCTTAAACTCTATTCCAAGTCAAACTAGGTCATTTTTTTTTAAACGGAGGAAGTAATAATTGTCAAACCTCGTGATTCGAACAATAACTAAAGCCTCTATCTTGAAGGGGGCGTGATAACTTCATCTAACGTATGATAATTAGGTACGAAAGTAAATAAATACAAATTTAATCAGACTCTAATATAAATACATAACATAAAAATAAAATAAAAACAGAGGAAAAGTAGTTGTTACTTGAAGGGTAGTTCTTGAAGAAGAGTGGACATATTTTGCAAAGCTCCTTTTGTGTGTTCATCATGACTTATTGAATCACCAGAAGAAGAAGAATTCGGAGAAGTCGGATCTGAAGAATCCCCTTCTCCTTCTTCTTCTTCTTCGCCAAGCAACTCCGAATCAGATGAAGAGAAATTACTCAAAATATCAGAAGAATCAGAATCATGATTTTCCTCATCCATGATCCCATGGTTGTTTTGTTGGTCCAAAGAAACTAATCTCATTTTCACATTCATAATCTAAACAAATAAAATCCACCATACAGTTCTTGAAAAAAAAAAAATGCAATTTTCTTCTTTTGTACTTTCTATGTGAATGAATAGGTGAAACAAGATAAGGGC